GCACCTTCCGCCGCGTACTCAAGATCTTTTTATTCCGGCCTGGCCTAATTTTTCCCTTTTTTTCCCTTTTTAAAACTCAAATTTTAATTCGTTCTTAATTTATTGGGGTGTTTTAAATCTGTCTTCGGCCAAATTGTTTAATTCGGTTTTATTCAGTTTTAAATTTTGTATTTATGTGTTTTTATCTTGTGGCTGTTCACCACTCTGAGTCCTTCGGGAGTTGGGCAGTATATAAATCAAATAAACTAAACTAAACTAAATTAAACAAGAAATACCCAGTTTCTGCAACTGTTCATACATTTTTGCCTTCAGCCCAATAAAGGGGTGCCACCAAAAAGATTGGACATTGGCTGTGTGGCCTCGGTCAACAATGTTACCATGGCCCCTAAAACATACACAGATGTCCTCCAGCTTCCTGAAGAAGAACAGCGCAGGTGGAGGGTGGCAATGGAGTGAGAAATGGACAGTCTCAAAAAATTGAAAGTCTTCATCCCCATGGAAGTCCCCAAACAGAGGAAGGCAATTGGCACCCATTGGGTCTACAAGGTCAAGCCAATGCCCAACAACAAACTCCTTTATAAGGCCTCGCTAGTAGCTCCGCTACAAGGCTCCGCACTGCGCTACTTACAGGACTTTGATGAAACACACTCCCCCACCATGAGAGCAGAAAGTGTGAGGGCTGCTTTGGTCACCGCAGCAGCACATGAGGAACACATTTTTCAATTCGACATGCACACTGCTTATTTACACGCACATCTAAAACAAAAAAAATTATGTCAGAGGTGCCCCAGGATTCCAGCAGCAAGAAGGCCACACCTGGCTTCTGAAGAAAAGTTTGTACAGCCTCAAACAATCAGGCAGTATGTGGTACAAATGCCTGACTACAACACTCAAATCACTGGGTTTCCATCCATCTCCAGCTGATAAATGTACCTTCACAAGGGATATCAAAGGGGGGCTAGAGAAAGTCCTAGTGTATGTCGATGACATACATTAGGTGTATGTCTAATGTAATAGATGTAATATGTAATATATTACATCAATGTAATATATTTGCCAGGACCCTACAAAAAAGGTTTACTCTAAAGTCTTTAGGATATGTGGACAAGTACCTAGGCGTACAAATCATCACTAGACCAAAAGGTTTTGCTCTCTCCCAAAAGGAGAAGATAGAGGAACTTTTGGTGAAATGTAAAATGGAAGATAGCAAGCCAACTGCTATCCCAATGCAGACTGACTATTATGTTTGGCACACAAGGATAGCCCAGAGTTCCAAAATAATACTCTATTTAGGTCAGTGGTCGGCTCATTGTTATATATAAGTAATTGGAGCCATCCAGACATTGCCCTGGCCGTGAACCTGCTATCCAGACAAGTGGAACATCCTACCCAGTTCCACTGGTTGGCCATTAAAAAGCTGTTAAAAAGCTTGTTATCTTCTGGGAGGAGATTTCATGGTACCCAAAGCAGAATATCCAGATTCATTCACAGTTTTCTTCCATATAGCATCAACATTGTAAACTCTTAAGTTTCCTCTTTCCACTATGTATTCAAAATGGACAGAGATAGATAGATAGATAGATAGATAGATAGATAGATAGATAGATAGATAGATAGATGTACTGATGTACTCAATGAAATTGAGGTTGAAACCCTACACTATAGCTTGAACCCAATTATATTTACCTGAAGCCATACCTAAGTATCATAAAAGGCTTATTGTTGAGTCTGTGACTTTAACCAAGGGATAATTAAAAGGGCATTACCCCCCTCTGTTCTGGCTATTTAATGTTCTATGGGAAAAAAATGGTATATAGCTATGTGTGGGGGACAGATGGGCCCCATGAGAACCATGGGGCTGGTTGGCCCCATCAGAACCCCCATCCCACCTCTATTAACAACTGTTTTGTTACCTCTCCACCTTGGAAGTCTCCATCTTTTGCAATTTTATAATGCTGTTTTACATTTTTAAAAAAATTAATCTTAAACTATTTTTCTTTTTAATGCTTAATTTTATTGATTAAATAAAATTTAATCAATTAATGTACCTCTCTGAGGGAGATGGGGTGGGGCTTTAAAAAGTATGAAATGTAAATAAATACAAGTCACAGTAATGGAGAAGAGGGATAATTGTTGAAAAATGGGTTCGCTAAAATGTAAAATCCAGGGGTAAAATGCTACCAGTTCAGACCGAATCTCCCGATCCAGTAGCGATGGCAGTGGGTAGTTCGGAGAACTGGTAGCAAAAATCCCTGCCCCCCCACCCATGCCCAACTGAGCCACGCAATCATTTGAGGCTTTTCTTTAAAACTTCGGCTGAAGAGGTTATAAAAAATACACCTTTAAAAGGCTCTGACGATCCCAGCTGAGTTGCCTGATCAGCAGAGCCTTTTAAAAGCATTTTAAAATGCTGAAGAGGTTGTAGAAAAAATGCTTTTAAAAGAAAAAAAAGCCTCTGACAATCAGGCAACTCAGCTGAAATCGTCAGAGCCTTTTAAAAGCATTGTTTTACAACCTTGTAGAAAAAATGCTTTTAAAAGGTTAAAAAAAAAACAACCTTCTGAGCTGAACAGAATCCTAGCTGAGCAGCACGATCGTCAGAGGCTTTTTTTTTTTACTTTTAAAAGCAATGCTTTTAAAAATTAAAAAAAAGATTGTGTGCCACAGCTGATCACCCCCCCATGCACTGTTCTACTTATCACATGCCTACTGCATGCCACACACATTTGATGTGTAGTGCGCACTGCGTATGCGCACCCAACGGACCGGTAGTAAACTGGTTCAGATTTCACCACTGGTAAAACCTCTGATTCCTCCCCCACCCCCAAAATTGCCTGATTAAAATCTTAACTGCTGTTTAATTTCTTCAATTTAATCCCTTTGAGAAGGTGAAAGAAGGGGAAGGGGAAAATCCTAAGAAAATGATAAAACACTGCCTCTAATGAATCCCTTCCCTGAAAATATTTTATGTGATTAATAACAGAAGGATCCATACCTTGGAAAGGAAGTTAACAATTCAGCCAAAAAAGAAGAGTCTTGTGTTATCCTATTCAAACCATAAATTTTAGGCACAAAGGTGAGATACTCAGGAGAAATTAGAGAGACATGTGCTCTCAAGAGACTATTTCCCAAATGACTGCAGGAAATGAGCAATTTTTCTATGATGCAATCTTTCAGAACTGCTTTCAATGTTAAGGACAATATTTTAAATAAATAAATAGGATTTTCATAAAGGCAGATTGTGTTGCTGGCTGTGGGCACATCAGTGACTGCTTTGATATTGAAACAGAGTAGAAGAATCCATGAAGAAAAGATGAAAGGGTAAGGAACAATTGATGAAAAACTCAAGACATGTTGCGTACCTTATGCTTGGGTATGGCTAGTCTAGAGAAAAAAAGGATTAGGGTGATTAAAATAGAATAGAAATAGAAGTAGGTAGTAGGTAGGTAGATACTCTAGGTAGGTAGGAAGGTAGGTAGGTAGGTAGGTAGGTGGGTAGATGGATAGATGGATGGATAGATGATAGATAGATAGATAGATAGATAGATAGATAGATAGATAGATAGATAGATAGAAAGAATTTTTTATTGGCCAAATGTGATTGGACACACAAGGAATTTGTTTTTGGTGCATATGCTCTCAGTGTACATAAAAAGAAAAGATACAAGAATCATAAGGTACAACACTTAATGATAGTCATAGGGAACAAATAAGCAATCACTTTTTATAAACAGTTTCAAGATAATACTATTCCACTGCTGGAATGGCCTGGGAATAGCCCAGACCTTAACCCAATTGAAAATCTATGGAGCTGACTAAAGAAACTTGTTAGTCAGAAGTGACCCAGCAATAAACCCAGGTAATAGAAGCAATCATTCAATCTTGGTTTCACATTATAACAGCCACAGAACTAAAAGACTTGGTTTGCTCCATGGGAAGACGTTGTAAGGCCGTAATTCATGCTAAAGGTTACCTAAATAAGTATTAACTGATGGGATAATTTTTGTATATCTCATTTTTTCTACGTGTTTCACTTTTCTTCTTTATACTGTAACTGCTATTCTACTAGCAAATTCTTCATAAAAGTTATTGCATTACATTCTTGATTAAATTATCTTTCCATTGATATATAGTTTTATGGTACTACTCCATAAAAAAAGTGGTGTTATTAGCCAGTTTTAGAAAATGCATTTTTCCCAAAAGGTTTTGGCCACTACTGTACATACACATAAGTACATGTATTGGATTTTACCCTTTTTGCTTTAATAAGTAAATCTGAAGTACTTTGAAAAATTCATCCATTGGAATACAAAGTTCCTTTGGGGAGCTTGGAATTTCCACTGAGAAATTTAAACACAGAATTTGTCTGAGGGCACGTTTTGCAGGCATCCAATACTATTGTTTTTATTTTCCATACGACTGGAAAGCAAAATCTTTTGGTACCTCACTTACAACTTCTGAAGGCAACCTGTTCCACTAGTTAATTGTCCTCACTATTAAGAGTTTTCTCCTTCATTCCAGGTTACAATTAACCAGTGCCTTCAGATTTTGTGGGTGCTTCATCACTAAGAAGAGACTGGACAGTCACTTGTCTAAAATGGTATAGAATCTCCTGCTTGAGCTGGACTAGAAGACCTCCAAGGTCCCTTCCAGGTCTATTCTGATTCTGATTATGCTTTTCTCCTTGATTAGTTTCCATCCACTGTTTCTTTGTCCTCTGGAGCTCTGGAAAATAAGTTGACCCCTCTTCTTTGTGGAAAAATCTCATATATCTCATCTTGCATGGGAAGAATGTAAAAAACCTCCATAACTCTGGTCAGAGAACTTAGATGTTTTCATAGCACACCTTTATGACAATAAGAAATAATTGACAGAAATATAGCAAAAGGTTGACTCAATTCGAATTCTGATTCCTTTGGTAGCTAAAGGGGAGGATGGATTTGAGCAACTGTACAAGACCGGCATATTTCCTTCTGGTTGGATTGTCCACATTTGGGGGAATGGAAAGCATGATGTATGCCAATGTCTTTCTCCTCTACCTCCTGAGTCTGATGGGCAACGGGCTCATCATTATGATGGTAATCGTGGACCGCCATCTCCAGAAACCCATGTATTTCTTCCTTAGCAACCTTTCTTTTATAGACATCGGACACACCACATCCTTCATACCCAAGCTGTTGCTCAATTACCTCTCTGCTAGTAATGCCATCTGTTTTTATTGCTGTGTGATTCAGTTGTGCTTCTATTTTCTTTTCGGGGTCACGGAATTTTTCATCATCACTTTGATCTCCTTGGACAGATACGTAGCCATTTGCCATCCTTTGAGATATGCCACCATCATGACTTCGGGGGTCTGCCTCAAACTGGCAATAGGAGCCTGGTTTGGAGGTTTTATCTCCATAGTTTGTCAAGTAGTGATGATTGCCAACCTACCCTACTGCACCTCCAACATTATCAATCATTTCTTTTGTGATGTTGGACCGGTGTTGAAGATTGCAGGAGGAGATACACATGTTATTGAAACCCTCGGTTTCCTGGTTTCTGTGGTGGTGATAATGTCCTCTTTGCTTTTCACCCTCGTTTCTTACCTCTTCATCATCGTCACCATTCTTCGAATGCCTACAACCTCCGGACAGCAGAGAGCTTTTTCTACCTGTGCTTCACATCTGATTGTAGTTTTCATTTTGTATGGCTCCGTCTTTTTTGTCTACCTAAGGCCAACAGTCAAGAACTCTTCCTTCAGGGTAATGAAGGTTGTCTCCGTTGTCTACACAATGATCACTCCAGTGCTCAATCCTTTCATTTACACCATTAGGAACAATGAAGTGAAAGAGGCTGTTCAGAAAATGATAGGAAGAAAGATTCCAGCTCTTCTCTGTGTTAGAAGGAATGAGAATTGATTCCATTATATATATTATTATTAGATAGATAGATAGATAGATAGATAGATAGATAGATAGATAGACAGACAGACAGACAGACAGACAGACAGACAGACAGACAGATAGATAGATAGATATTTCAAACACATAAATCAATGCATGGACAGTGTGGCACCTGAGTGTCATACATTCTAATATGAATAAAGCTTTTAATAAAGGGTGATATGATTAAAAGTTAGAACAAGTGATAGAAATAAGAGAAGGGGGAATATTAGAGTACACACTTTTATATAAGTAGCTGCAGATAGAGATAAAGATCCAAGAGAAGAATATGGGAGGCAAGGCAAAAAAAAAAAAAAAAAGCATAGCAATTAAAGTATTGAAGCAGGCAAGAGACGATGGATAGATGATTTCTCCTTTTCATTGTTCTGATTTACTTTTCTTTTTCTCTCACTTTCTTTTCTTTCTTTAGGTAGGTGACATGATTAGAGGTTAAGTAGGATAGAAAGAAAATGTTTTTTTAATAAAGGGTGACATGATTAAAAATTAGAATAAGAGATAGAAATAAGAGATGGGGCAATATTAGTGTATACAATTTTATATAATAAAATAAAAGGAATAATGAAAAAACAAGGAATAATTGGACAATGACAGACTGCAACTTAATATAAATGTGTACTATTAATAGAAATATATAAGTTGACTGAATGTAACAACTATGATTAGTTGATTAATTCTACTAGCTTTATTCGTATTAGAATGCAGGAATTGAATCCATTTTCAAGGGGATTTCCTGAAGATGAAACAAAATCTAAACTGTAAACTCTAAGTAATAACCTTAGATTCCAGGGGCTGCCCTGGAAACAGAGAAAGATCGGCCCATCGTGCCTCTGCAGCAAAAGTGGGCTACCGAGCTCCATTTTCAGCTGTGATTGCCTCCGGAAAACTTCTGCGGGTGGCCCTTCCGAGCTCTGTTTTTCCTGGCAGAGCATTGCAGGAGGCTGTCACAGCCAAAAATGGAGCTTGGGAGCTCGTTTTTGCTGGCAGAGCACTTGGCCACCACAAGGTGCCCCCAATATGAGTGATGTTGAGCTGGTCACACCCACCCTGGCCATGCCCACCCTGTTCCCCAGAGGTCAAACACAATCCTGATGCAGCCCTCAATGAAATCGAGTTTGACACCACTGCTGTAGAAGATAAAGTTAGGTAGCTTCAATCGGTTGGGTTTCAAACCAATTCATATCTATCAGTGATCTTTGAGTCTGGAGTCAAACATTTTTTTCCCCTTTTACTGTGAGGCTAATAGAAGATGAAATGCCAAGATTTTAACATGCTGGTTCATTGAGTGGAAGAGACAACGCCACCCCCATCTTCAGTGCAGATTAATTAAGGGAAGGTAGGATTGGGATATAAGACTGAATGTTTCTTGACAATGAATGACAAAATTATATACTACACACATCATTGGATGATGACATCCCAATGTAAAATGTCTATGGAGATTCTCAGTCTCCAGGTCATGGTTGTCCCAAAGGTGCTTTTTCAAGAGGCAACTGGACTTTCTGGTTTTTCTTGGAAGACATTTCACTTCTTACCCAAGAAGCTTCTTCAGCTCTGACATGGTGGGGAATGGAAATTAAACAGTCCTATCTCAACAGAGGAGGAGGGATATGACATCATCTATCTCCAATCCATAACACAGTCCTTTCAATAGTTCCAAGAAGGCTCCACATCCATTTGCACTACTAAGGTGATCCAGATGACACAGATAAACATCCAGATGGCCTCAATGACTCTCTAAAAGAATGCAAATGACCAGCTGTCTGCAAGGGGTATAAATCCTTCCATTCCCCACCATCCACCCAGAGTTGAAGAAGCTTCTTGGATTAGAAGGGAGACATCTTCAAAGAAAAATCAGAAAGTTCAGTTGCCCCTTGAAAAAAGCACCTTTGGGATCCCAATGCAAAGGTAATAATTATAGTGTCCTCATAATTACAAGCAGATATGCTGTCAGGTGAATCAGTTAAATCAGTCGACAAATCTTAAAGCTGCCAAGTGTGAAAAACACCTCACAAGAGTATACAATGTCTAATTCCCTACATGATCTTGCCACTACACCATCCCACCTGAAAAAGATTTCAAATCTGCAGATCTTAAAACACTATGATAAGTATCTTCACCTTGAATTCCATGGAAAAATGAATGGGGGAAGAAATGGAAAGTTGAAGAAAGTCATTATTGGATGTCATTTATTTAGCGTATGGTTGGTCACACACAGTATTAAAACACTTCATTTTTATAGGTTAAAAACAATTAAAACAATAAAAAAGCAGTAAGAAAACCTAAGAGGAAAACAGAAATAACATTTCGAAGTTTAATGTCAAGTTTGGAGATCCAATCAGTAGCTGCCGTTGTTATGCAGAGGAAGTCCCTAGAATCTCCTGGATACCTTCTGTTAGGGCATTCCCTCACTATATGCTGGATAGTCTGTCGAGGGGCCCCGCAATCACATTGTGCTGAAGGTGTCTTTCCCCATTTATACAGGAACAACATGGGGAGCTTCAGCCCCAACTCTCTGATGTGCAGCCTTCAGGCTTTGCTACTCTGCAGTGGAATACTGTGCACCTGTATGGATAAACAGCTCACATACAGGACTTATTGATGTTCAACTTAACCATACGATGAGGCTAATTACTGGGTGCATAAAATCTACACCTAGTTACTGGTTACCAGTTCTTAGTCAAATACACCCCCCGCACTTACGACGACAAGAAGCTCTCATTCAGGAGTATAGTAAGATCCTGTTAAATTCCTCTCTACCCATACATGGATACATTCCTGATCTCTTAAAATGCCGATTAAAGTCAAGAAATCCACCAATCTTGACAGCGCGTAAGTTGATGGCCGATCATCAGAACACCACACAAAAGTGGATGGAGGCATGGAATAGCTGTTCCCCTCAAGATGTCTCTGAGCATATCAGTCCTAGTAGTATACCTCCAGGATTTAGCCTACCCCGACACATATGGGTGACATATTATTGGATGTCATCTTCAGTTTGTTCCTTCCCTCTTTTATTGAATCTTTGAAGAGCCTTAGAAGATTTCACAATCTATCTATATAAAAAAGGCTGCATGTATGTATGTTCCAGTATAACTCTGGAACACCTTGAGCAATTTCAACCAGACTTGGTATGCAGATGACTTACTATCTGGAAACAAATACTGTGGGGGTGAGACACCCCTGGGGTGTATGTCTGTGTCTGTGTGGAATGCCTGGGCCATTAAGGAGAGCAAGTGCAGCATCCTAAAGCGGCAATTGTAGGTGATGTCATGGGATGGGGAAGGGAGACCCTCAGCCGTTAAGGACAGTGAATGTGGTGTCCTAGAGTGGCAATTGTTTGGAAAGGCAGCCATGATGTTCCCCCTCCAAAGGAGCCATGGGGAAGCACCTGATGGATTTGGGGCAAAGGTCCAGGATCATAGACAGGGTGGGAAAGAGGAGCACATCGAAGGAAGAAGGGAGAGGGCAGTGATGATGAGCATGAGGGTAGGGAGAAGAAAGGCCCTTCTCAATGGCTCCCTGTCAGACAAAGGCTTTGGCTATAAATATCCAGGCAATGGAGGGTTACCATCTAGTACTGTATATACAAAACTCAGTTTCTGAGAATGGCCCTTGGAAGTTGGTCCAAATAAAACTGGGCATGAATCATGCTGATTCCAAATAACCTATTTGGGTCATAATCTATGGATAACTATGGGAAACGAGAGACAAATTCTTCTAGAAATTGTATCTCAACCTTCTGTACACAATAAAGCATCTGAGAAGGTTTTACAATTTATCTTTTTGCAGTTGAACAAGAAGGGGAATTAGACCAACCATAAAAGAGTTGCAGAGTTCATCCTTGTTTGAGTGCCTCCAGAGGGCCTCCTATATTGCATTGGCACTTGACTTCGATCCAAGGCACATGAGTCTTGAGCATATTCTAGATACGCTGCATGGATACTCATGGGAAATTAAAGGAAAATATTCATAGAGACTGTTTTCCAAGCTTCCGTAGAGGAGAAGTCAATAAACCTTCTATGATGCAATCTGCTAGATGCTGTTTAAATGTTAATGAAAGTATTTCTCAAGAAGTCTACCATTTCCCCCTGAACACCTGATGCATCATTTTCTATGGTTCTTAAAAACATTGTCTTCATAAGTTGGTGGAATGTTGGGATGAAGGGTCTTGTACTTGGAGAAGACAAGGCAGGTAATGAAGTAAGAACAAGTCAAGGTAAGCATGGAGAGATTTTAAGGTCCATGTTCTATAAGACCAGGATGTGGAACAGAATGTCATCATAAAAATAACTAGCCTTATACACACATCAACCTCCCACACAGATACAGAGAGAAACATCTTCACTTGTCTCTCTAAAGTCCTTTAGTTACTTTCATATTTCTATCATACTCCAGCAGTGACAAATTTCACACAAATTTCACTAATTTCTAACAGTCTTTCTTTGGTTGTGGCCTCAGGTGTTTTGGGATTCCAGTTATGGGTCTTTAGAGGGCGGGAGGAGCTGACATCGCAACAGGGTGGTTGGAGGATTCCTGGGCTCCAGGATCACTGCCAAGAACCCCACTGCTAGACAGTCCTTCTTGGACCTCACTGTCTCGTTTTGACTGTGATAGTGGAGGGCATATCCTGACGATCCCAGGGACAATGCAAAGTCCCTGGTTGATCCGGGAGAAGCCCTTTTTCTAACGGTGGGGCGGCAGCCATTGTAGCCATTGCTGAAGTTGGGACAGCTCCGGAAGAAGATTAGAAAGACAGTGAGTCGATGCGGTGAGAGACTTTCAATTTAAATCAATATTAAAGAACACCCTGAGAGTGAATTGGAAATTAAATTGGAGATAAAAGAAAATTAAGTGGTGAAATTAAGCTGGATTTATTTCTTATTTTTAAACCATTTGCATTGATGGAGGTATAAATCATTGTTGTTGTTTTTTGACCGGGTCTGGATTGAAAAGGACTAATAGAACTGAGAGCTGTTTTACATTTTTAAGCCTTTGTGCCTTTTATTGAAAATATTTCTTTTTTTGGGGGGGGGAATTTAATTTTTTCTTCTCCCTCTGGGGATTCTTTTAATTCTCCATTTTATTGACAAAGAACTTTTGGAGTACAATAGTGGGGAAGAAAGGAGAGTAATACTGCCATCTACTGGATTAGAAACTTTGTTACTCTTTTTCATTCAAGCAGTAAATTGAAACAATTGTGTGTTATATTTTGTTACAACTCAAGGAGTCTGAACTTTCTTGCAGATAAGATAGTTGGAAGTACATCTGAGGAAGTTGGAATTATCTGTATTGTTTATTCAGGTGTTCTTTGGGGAACTATCAGAAGTAGGAGTCTGAAACTGAACAAGAGAGATTTGTTAATGTTTGGGAAGGAGAATTGTAGAAAAAACTGGAATCCTTTTTACTTTCACCTTTCATTATTTTTCTTTTTCTCTGCTAAGTGATAACTCTCTGTATTCTTCCCCTGCTTAAACATTTTCAATGGACTTATGAAACTTTTCCATTTTTCCCCCTGATATATAACTTAATTGGATTAAGGTGTACAAGTGCCTGAAGATTATTTATTTTTATT